TATATATATATATATATATATATATATATATATATATATATATATATATATATATATATATATATATATATATATATATATATATATTTTCTAGTTGAAATTTGGAAGTAGTATTTATATAGAAATAATTTTAGAAAATAAAATCAAAATACATTAATTTGTTGGTATAAATTACCAAAAATTCCAAACAAATCCGAACAAACTTTTTTATTAATTTATATTTGACGTCATGCACTCTGCCTCTCCGATTCTCCTCTTTAATATATAATTTCCTTTTTAGAGAAAAAAAAAAAGAAGAAGAAAAGAAATCTGATAAGATATTTATTTCCGTTTAATGGAATATAAAGTCTCATAATTGAAGCTTAATTAAAGAAAAAATAGATGCTATTAATAAATAAATATTGTAATTAAAATTATAATTTTGCCTTTTAAGTTTTCCTTAATCTGTTTTATATTTTTTTTTATAATTTTTAATATTTCCGTGGGGATAGAAAGAACGAGGTCTAGAACGAGGTCTAGTTCCATTTTAGAACACGAGATTGGAATCAAGGCTAAGGGCAAGAGCTCCACCAATAAGAACTCTATCATCAACAAATAAGCTCAGAGCGGAAATAGAGATTGAGAAGCTCTCATACAAATCCAACTAAAAGCCGTTCTTATTCAAGTTTTAGGATATTTTTAAAAAGTCCATTAAAACAAAAAAGTAACGAACAGCGAAATATTTATTAATATATAAACACGAACAAAAGAAAAAAAAAACTGAGCTTAAAATAATTATAATTAATACATTTGACTTGTCTACTGAATATAAAAATAATTATATTAAATTAAAAACATAGCTAAACACGTGCTAAATTCCCTAGGCATCTTAGTTGCAATGCTATAAAAATTAATCATATAAAAAAGAAAAACTTTGCCTTATACCCAATAATCAATATTATTTTATTTCATTAACATCACGTCACACGTCACGACAATTCATTAAAATTATATACTATAATTTGATTAGAAAATGACGCATTCTCTATCAACTTTCAGAAGTAAATTTATTTTTAGAAGAAATTCAATTGTCTTTCACATTTGTTGACTCAAATACACCGAAAAATTCCTACACGCAAATGTCATAAATTGTATACTTGACTCTACCTGTAGAATAATTTTATTGTTAGACTAAAGTTAAAACAAAATACGACCAAATTTGCTTTAAAGTTGAGCCGTTCAAATCTCTCATTTTATGCGTTGTAGAAACTTCACGTGAGTGTTGTCAATATGTTTTGTTAATTTAACCTAACGTGACTTGATGTCACAAAGATGAGTATAGTTTAATAGATAATATATCAATTATCATTCAAAAAGTCGATGATTCTATCCTCTAACTCTCCAATCACTACTAGAATTTAAATGAATGTCGACCCATTCTTTATCCACAATTTCTATATGACCCAGCGAGGTCGTCCGGGAATTAAATGTTTTAAAAATATAAACAATAAAAGAAAAAAAACCAGCCAAAGGGTATGTTTGGTCAATTTTCACACAAGGGAAGAAATCTTGAGTAAAATGAAATTGGGTGGATGAGTTTTATGATACAACAACAAAGCTGTTCTGTTTGTCGTTGACAAATTTTGGTCTCTGTTCTGTCTGATACCAGCCCACAGGACAACATTAAATCCTGCAAAACGCCCTTTTTGTTTTGCTCGTCCAATTGACCTCCAGCTGAATGCCCTCGGGATTAAGGTACAATTTTTTGCTGGCAGACATTGAATGCATTTCAATAATTTTTATTCACAATTCACCTCCGCATTCTTGTTTGGCGTTCTTGTTGGCACATCGTCCTGTGTTTGACTATGATATCATTTTTAACGGTTCAAACCCACCATTAGAAAACATTGTCCGATTTAGCTTGTTATATATCACCGTCAGTCTCACGGTTTTAAAATGCATCTATTAAGGAGAGATTTTCATACTCTTATCAAAATTATTTTGTTAAAATAAATACAAACTAACTATCTAATTTGCAAGCGACTTTTCTAACCTAATTTGTAGAAGGCATATTGTCAACAAATTAGACTTTACATTTTCCAATGTACAAAAGTTCTCAACTGGTCAAACAATTAAGTCCGTTATCTCAGGCATATCCATTTAAATTGACCAATGTTTTATTTTTCTAAACATTATTTTACTTTTTTTTTAATATCTATAACATATTAATATTAAAAACTGATATAGTTGAAAAGCAAAACATTTTTTTCAACACTTTTGTCATTTCTCTAATTTACTAATTTAATAATTGTCAAATTATATCGGGATAGATCAAACTAAAAGATTATTACTAGTTTAATATGGTCAAACCCAGTAATAATATGAGTTCCATTTCTTTGAATTAAAATGGTGTATTTGTAGAATATTTTTTATCAAACATTTTCCACGATTCTTTTAAGATAAAGGTTCGAACAAATTTTTCCTTATATTTAAGAGCTCGATTTGAAAAGTTAAATCTGAATGTGTTGGTCTCGTTTGACATATTTTTTCTTTATGGTTGAAATTTTACTCAAAATAGAACGATTTCGTTTAATAAAATTTGAATTCAAAGAATTTTTTTTGTATATACATCAACAATCAAATAACAGGAAGTGGAGAAATACCCTAACATTTTTTAAATGACTCAAAAAGGCGACAAAGTTGATATTTTATTGGTAAGGTAACACGAACATATTTTTTAAAATTGATATTTTATCTCAAAGAACTTACCATAGTTCTTTTTAAATAACATCAAATAAATAATAGAATTAAAATTTTATATTTGAATTCATTATATAACATGAGCATGCATTTTTTAATCTTAAGTAAAAGAAAAATTATATATATATATATATATAGATATTTTTTAGTTTGCATAAAAAAGGAGAAAAAAATTATTTTTATCGTTGAATTTAGAGTTCAAATACTTAAATCTCACGTTACTTGGTGATGAGAACAAAACATTTTTTGTAAGGGTGTAGAAATCTCTCCTTATACGCGTTTTAAAACTTTGAGAGGAAGCCTAGGAGAAAAAGTCCAAATAGGACAATATCTGATTAGGGTGGAGTTGGGTTGTTACAAATAATATCAGAGCCAGACATCGAGCGGTGTACGAGCAAGGATGTTAGGCCTCTAATGGGGTGGATTGTAAAATCCCACAAAGGCGTTGTGCCTCCAAGAGGATGGATTGTGAGATTACATTGGTTGGTGAGGATAACGAAACATTTTTTATAAGGGTATGAAAATCTCTCCGAACAGAGTTTTAAAACTTTGAAAAACCAATAAAACACAATATATGGAGTTGTTACACTCTTTTTGTTCCACGTGCTTCCAGGCTTATCTAACTAGAATTTAGGATTTAAGAAGAAATGGTAGCCATATTTTAGAAATTTAAATATAATTTTAAGGATATCGATATAAGGGCGTAACGATATATTCAATAATTATGAAAGTGATTATTATATTCGATTAGGTGCTACATGGATTAACTATATAATAATGCCATGATATGTAAATAAATCTAAAAAATTATAAAGATGGTGGCCAACTTCAAGGAATGCGTTCAATAATTTAAAATTAGTCTAAGTGATTAGGTGGGTTTTTTATAACCATTTTCCATAAATTAATATAAAAATTTTGGAGGAAAATAAGAGGGAGAATATTTCCTTGCACGCAACTAGTTTTCTTTAACGTTTAATTTATATATTTAATTATACTAAATATTCCTTAATTTTGGAATATTTTTCAATTATTTAGTCAATCTGAACAATTACTTCAAAATTGATTAAAAATATTTTTATAAAGATTTTTTAAAATAAGAATGAGAATTGACGCAACAATAAAAAGTATTTTTAAAAATTATTTGAAATATAATGGATTATATATATTAAGGTTATAAGATTGATATCTTGTCTTTATATTTATATGTATTTATTTTTCTTTTTAAGTTTTAACATTAAAAACAAAAATTATAACTATTTAATCTCTATATTTAAAATTTATAACAATTCAATTATTAGATGATAAAAGTCATACGTGGAATGATCATAAATTTATAATCAAATAATATTTTCTTGATTGGTATGAATGATTTTGGGAGTCGAAAGGAAAGAAAATGGGTTAAATTATTTTTTTTTAAGGAAATAGTTATTATGGTCGAAATCAATGTCTAAATATCTAAATACACAACTAACATGTAATTTAATAAGTAATTGTTGATTTTTTAAAAAGGAAAATCAGAGGAAAAGGGACGCATGTGAAAACGGCGACTTTTCGTCAAAGGAAGCCGAAGGGAATCCTGTTTTAACCGCCATGCGTCGCTTGCTTGGTGCATTTGGCCGCTCGAATTCATGGAAACCATACCAAATTCTTGAAAGGTCTTCTTCTTCTTCTTCTTCACATAGTCTTTGTTTCATTTACGTGTACAGTTTTGATTCAGTTCCATAGCTTTGTCTATCTAATGGATCGATCTTTTCTCCCGTTTTGTTCACGACAAATCCTTATTTGATCAAACCCTGTTTTTTTCCATTTCAAGCTCTGCTGTTCCGCATCTGGAATTTCTCTACCTTTTTGAACCGTTTACACGATTGCTTGTCGGTTTCTGATTTTTCTGTATATAGTTTTCTTGGCATCCAAGTTTCTGCTTGGATTTTCCTTGGTTGATTGATTTGTGAACATAATTTCTGCTTTGGGATTGATAATCTCGTAACCAATTTGACTTTGTTGGGCTTTTGGAACTCTGTACTGGGTGCTCTTGTCTGCAACTTTTTGTTTTCCACGAGTGAATTGCGGAGAGTTTCATTTTTCGGGAGTTTTGAGTATGGGTTGTTTCTTCAATTTTAATCGTAAAAAGAAGATCAAAAGAGGAGCAGGACCGACTAAGGAACCGAATCAAAGGAACAAATCGGATCGTGTGATTGATGCATTGGAAACGTTGCCTACGCCCCGGAGCATACCTGAGTTGTACAAAGAGAAGGAGCATACTCTTAGAGCCTTTACTCTCGAAGAGCTCAAAATTGCGACGAATGGGTTCAGTAGGTCGCTTAGGATTGGAGAAGGTGGCTTTGGGAGTGTATATAAGGGGAAAATAAGGCTTGAAGGTGATCAGGGAGAGGAAACCATAGTTGCTATCAAGAGGCTTAAGCCAAATAGCACACAGGTATCTTCAAATTCTTTGCCGTAGTTAGTCTTTAGTTGCCTAAGGAGCTTAAACAGGGCTGAAGATGATTGATTATTCTATTATTTTCCAATGTTTTTAGTTGCTAGATAAGGAGCTTAAACAGGATTGAAGATGATCGATTAGTATTAATTTCATAACGTTATTTTCTTCTTTTGTTCAAGGGTCATAAACAATGGCTTGCAGAAGTTCAATTTCTTGGTGTTGTTAGTCATACAAACCTGGTAAAACTTTTGGGATACTGTTCAGAAGATGGAGAAAGAGGGATCCAAAGACTGTTAGTGTATGAATTCATGTCTAATGGAAGCCTAGAAGATCATCTCTTTAGCAGGAGTACGACTCTTTTGACATGGAAAACTAGGCTACAGATTATCCTTGGTGCAGCTCAAGGATTGGCTTATCTACATGAAGGATTAGAAGTTCAGGTACAATCTTTTTGATTATACTTGTTTGATTTATTTAGGGACCCCATCATTCTTTTGATGCATTTGAACCATAATTATCATCTGATGTTTGCATCAATCAAGGTTTCATGCTAAGTTGCACATTGTGTTGCATTTGTTTCATTTGGTTATGCCCTCTTGAAGTGCTAATGCGCATTTCATTTTGAACAACTAATGTCGAGTTTCATATGCTCTTTCGCCACGTGTATAGACGGATGTTTATTCAATTTCTTGCTGTATTACATAATTTTTAAAATTTTCCTGGTAAATTGATGTATTTTGCTGCCTCTGCATTGAAAGGTGATATACCGGGACTTCAAATCGTCAAACGTGCTATTGGATGAAGAATTTTCTCCTAAACTTTCGGACTTTGGGCTTGCTAGAGAGGGGCCAACTGGTGATCACACGCATGTGTCCACTGCAGTAAGTTCCCGACTTAACGAGTTCATGTTAGTCTTCAAGAACGGCCATTTTTAGCTTGCTGCAATATGTGGCTAGCTTTCTATTTCATGTTTAAAAATAAAAGCCTCTGTTAACATCTCTAACAAAAGCTTGCAATAATAGTATTCCAAGGAACTAGACACGAGTGATCTTAAAATGCATAATATTTCTCAATGTAGTTTTGACATAGGAATTTTGCTACCTTGCCTTCAAGAATTGGGAAAATTGAAACATGGCCATAGCCGTGTTTTTGAGTCAAGTTACAGGAACGTGACTCAATAACGCAGGCACAAGACCATTGAATTCAAACAAAGAATTCTGATTAACTTGGATGAGTTATATGAAAATAAGCATGTATGGTGAAGTTTGATGACTTTGTAAAGCTGATTTTTGCTGGTTGCACAATGATCAGGTGGTTGGGACATATGGATATGCAGCACCCGAATATGTTGTCACAGGACATCTAACAATGCAAAGTGATATATGGAGTTTTGGAGTAGTTCTATATGAGATCCTCACAGGCAGGCGAGTTCTCGAACGAAACCGCCCCACGGTGGAGCAAAAGCTACTCGAATGGGTTAAACAGTTTCCTGCAAACAGCAGAAGGTTCAAGACAATAATGGATCCTCGGCTTCAAAACCAGTATAACCTGGCTGCAGCTCGAAAAGTTGCCAATCTAGCCAATCAATGTCTCAACAAGACTGCAAGAGATCGGCCAACGATGTCGAAAGTCGTCGAAATCCTGAAACAAGCACTAGAAGAGTCCGAGGAGGATCGTGTTTGAGGATTCCTGTTAATCATCTGGGTGTTTACTGCAAAAAACTGAAATGGTTGAAATGGTTGTGAGGTATCACTTTTTTGTATGAAAGCTTAGTCGAGGTACCTCCCCTTTTGACGTTTGCTCTTCATTCATCATCTTTAAGATTAGAATATGAGTGGGAAGATTAGGCGATTGATTGATTTTGATTGGTTGCTGGTTTGAGATGCAGAGTTTTTTTTTTTTTTTTTAAGTATCAGATTCAAAGTTTCTTGAAGTACAGAATATAAAAAATTTCATTTATTTTATGATTTAATTGTCCAGGCCCTTTACAAACGGTTTAATTGATTTTAATACAAGTGGATGCTAATATAATAATACTTATTTAAAGCCCAACATTATTGGGCCTAGAGTATTTAAAGCCCAAAACATATTAGAGCCGAACATTGACCTCTTTTCTTCTCACCATCTCATTCGGTGAAAACCTGAGGCATGCATGTGTCCTGAATTGGGCGGAAATTCTCCGGAGATTGAAATGGAGAAATCCTTCACTCTGATTCAGACCATTGCAACTGCTGGAGCTTTCTCTGCGATTTCCTGCTGGTGCGAATTTATTTCTCATTTTCACTTCTTGATCCATTGTGCATGAATTTGGTCGCGATTTCTTCTCTGGATTTTGTAACTCATTCATCATCCTTCGTTTTTGTTTGGTATGTTTTCATGTTTGGAAGAGAGTCTGCTCGAAAAGACTTGGGAGATTTGTTTGAAGATCTACGCCGTGGAATCTCCTACTGCGATTCTTCTTCTGCAACTCCTCATTCTCGACCTGGCACTGTATGTCCTTTCCTTCAATATGTTTTGGTAGTGATTTTGGATGAACTAACGTTCGGAAGCTATTAATCTTACCGTTCTCTTGCTTTTACTGATCGATGTGATTGTGTCGTAGAAGTTTAGTCTGGATTAATGAGCAACAGATTTTAACTTAACGAACAAGAAGATTCGTAGTTTTTAATTAGAGGCGTTTGAAGTATCAATTAACCTAGGTATTTGAAACATCGTTTATTAGGCATTTGAAAGGAATTAGTGTTTAGAAATTTTCCTTTGGAAGGTACATGGAGACGAGTGTTTTTACCATTTGGATGACATCTTCATGGTGTTTAGGCAATTGGAAGTAATACAGAGAGGCATGTTCCTCGTCATCTCGGTGGTTTCCTCTTGTTTGTTTTTAGTTCTTCAGTAAATCCTCATTAATCCTCGTAAAGAAAAGAAAGACAACTGAAAACCAATTCAATCCTTGACAAAAACGATGCCGTAAACAGTGACAAGTATATATCCCTCTTGAACAAAAAGAAAACATGGTATGCGTAAGTAAACAAATAGGATATGCCTCCTTAAATTTAAATATAAAGCAAGAACTGACTAAGACCGAGACTTAGGTGATCAGAGTTAGCAACAAATCTCAGTCCAATCCAAAATATAAATCATAATGTAGGAAGTTAAAAGGATGTGGAATCCGCCTCCATATTTTGATGAGTATTATGTCTTAGCATACCTGATTCAATGAGATTTATACTATAAAGTTTTGTAATTATGTTTTATTACTTAATATTTGACAATAATTTTGATTATTTTATTTGTTATCATCATCTATTATATGTAAAATCTAAGATTATTAACGCAAAATCGAACAATATATGATTGATACATAGAGTATCATGTTTGATAAATAACCTAAAGATGTTTATAGTATATAAATAGCTTATGTGACTTATTTTGATTTAAATTGCATTCAACTTTGTTTCAAACGAATAATTGAATCAATGGAAAGCTCATTGAAATAAAATAAAATAAAATAAAATAAATATTTTTTGTGTGTGTGAAAGTATAAATTTGAAATTAATAATTGAACCAACAAACTTTTTTTAAATATAATAATGAACGTATTTTTATTCTTCAAAGATATTTAGTTGCTCAAAATTAGAATATCTCGTAATTTGCATCATAGCATTAGTTGTAACTTGCAAGGCATCTAAAAGAAAATGAAAAGAAAAAAAAAAGGAACAGAGAAAATGAGTCATCCCTTCGAGTCTTCACCATTATTAATATTCCGAGAAAAAAAAGGAGAAGAATCTTGAATTCAGCAATATTCCAACTTATATTAAAAATATATCTTATTTATACTGAATAAAATAAGTAAATGAAGAAAAACAAAGTAAAAAAAAGAGGAATCCATCGTAATTCTAGTAAAAAGCTAAATTTCTCATTTCATTAGTATTTCTTCACCATCCATTAAAGCTTATAATATAATATACATAAACAAAGCCCCAAAAGATGCACAGAAGAAAGAAAGGAAAAGATGAGCAAATCCCAGTAGAAAAATGAACACAAGACTTCCTCACTGATCACCACCACCATCCATAAACATAATTCATTCACAGTTGCATAATTTTTTTTTACGAGAATCTAAACAAAAACGAACTCTCTGCTCTTCCCGGTTTTCTTCTTCTTCTTCTTCTTCTTTACTCTTCAAATTTTCACCTCTTTTTCCGGGAATGATTAATACGTATGGGTATGATTATCTATCGATCTACGCCGCCACCACCGTGCCGACGAGGAAACAGCAGTCGTGGTTGGTGATAGACTTGTCCGTAGAAGTGGATTGATCTAAGTTTCTCATGGCTTTTAAGGACGATGATAGATTCATCTTATGCTCTTTCGCTTCGTCCATGTCGATTTGCTTCTGTCGACACTCTTCGCTGCAAAATGGAGTGTCTCCTCTGCAGAAGATGATCGTAACAATATCGTCAGAATCGAATCATGGCCGAGGATAATATTTGTCATTTCTTCGTAATTGAACGTTCATATTTAAGATCTGATTCGAAAATTTTTCAGAAAAAGGCGTTTTCTGATCTTGATATTTTGTTCGTCAAATACCGAAGGAATTAAAAGATCGATCCTATTTCCATAAGGATTCATCGATATAATTAGTAAAATGCTTATCTGCAAAAACTGAATTTCTCTCTTGATCAGAGAATTAAATGTTTCTCTCGGATTCATCTTTGCTACGGAAAATTAAAACACAAAAGGTCGAACACACAACAAATCTAAACCAATAACCAGATGCAAAAGCCACAGTCAGAATCCGAAAACAACTCTAATATCACTCTCATCTTCATCCTTACAGAAATCATAAGAATAAAAGGAAAAGAAAAACTAACCTGTACATGAAAATGTCTTTGTCATCATTAAGCGCCTTCTTGCAGAGAAAACAAGCTTCCAAGAAACGGTAAGGATGATCTTCAAATCTCCCGCGGCAAAACCTCGGAGAAATGCTCGAGCAGGAAATCGAGATGTTTCTGGAACCACCGCAAGGGTGAGCGCCACCATGGCAAATCCTCGGCCGGGGGAAGAAAAGATGAGGATATTGGCTGTACTGGTTTCCAGAAAATCCAGCTTCCACATCCAGAAAAGAATCTGATCCATCGTCCTCAACAAAGAAATACGGCATTCTCACAGAAGCATCCATTGTTCCTCCTTCCCGAACTGTAGAGAGAGAAAGAGAACGTAAAGAGAAGAGAGAGAGAGAGAGAAGCAAAAAAAAGAGAGGAGAGAGCTGGAGGTTTCAGAGGAGTGGGGTGGGGTTTTATAAAGGAGACGGTAGAGTGAAAAAGAATCCACACCTAAACTAAACATGTGTAATGAGATAGTGGCGTTTGTGTAATTTAGAGGAAAATTAAGGGTTAAACAGTAATGAAGCTATATTTTTGTAGCTACCATGTGTGTGCGGACCCGTATGGATTTTCGTAGACAGACACCAAACTTAGCGAGCTTTCATACATAATGGACTTGAACCGAACCATATATTCAAATTTACTCCACAACTTGATTTTTGAAGTAAGGAATATGGCCCTATCCAATTCTACGAGCCTATCCGTCCTCCATCTCACTCACTTTTTATATATAAATACAAATATATCTATATATTTATATATGAAAATAAGACGAAAAAATATTTGAACCTAATTGACACGAAGAATTTTTATTTCAAACGTCACAAAAATAAATGAAATTTATTGAGAACACGAGCATTGAAATGGACATGCCCCATGAATATCTATAGTCGTGACCTAGTAGAACATTTATATTATATATATTTAAATTCTCAGATTCTTCCGGTCGTTTTCCTACCTACCTCACGGCCCGGCCCACTTGGCCAGGTGTGGAAGATGGGCCCACCAAAACGGCCCTTTTGGAAAGTATTATATAACATATTTTTTTAAATCTATATTTTATTTTAATTTAATTACGAGGGAGCTGTTTTTCAAGGTTGTTGTCCCCTCTGCCCGTCAATAACGGGGCAGAAATGACTATAGTTTCCTTTACACGTGTATAAATTAGGGCCAACTTCATGGGGGCGTAGATGAACACAATATTGCCACGTGTTCCCAGCTAATGCAGAGTCAAACCCTCTCGTTTAAAAATTATCTGAATACCAAATCCCAATACGTCGTCGTTTGCTGTTTTCAATTTCCATCCAATTATTTGTTAAAATTTTCCAAAACATACCTTAATTGTTAATTTTATTATACTATAATTTAAAAAAAGAAAGTCATTTTTATTTAGTAACTATTTTATTTGAAATAAATTTAGTGGTTATTGTTTGATTAATTGTTAATTTTATTTTTTTTATTTTTCAATTAATTATTTCATCTTCATTAATAAATTATTGAACAGTGCAATTAAAACCATAACATTAGTTACACCACCTTAAACACTTAAGGTTTATTTGTTTTTAATTATATTATTTACAATTAATTAATTTTTATTGATAAATTTATGAAATTGGTGTAAATTTTATTATTTTACAAATTTGATATAAATTATAATATATTTTTTAATTGAATTAATAATAAAGTGTGTGAATAAAGCGATTCTGACACTTTTTTCCACCTCAGGTGCAGAGAATTTGACTAAGAGACACGTGGCAACGCCACGTTTGTTTCCTAGGGAACCAGCATGTCCCCTAAATTAAAGGCCACCCTTCCCTTAATTATTTAATATTTTTATAAAAGAAAAAAATATATTACAATATGGGGAACTGCTTGTCCTCAAGCAAGGCAGGCGCCAACGGCAAAGTGCCCTAAAAAGAATAATTACAATAATTTAAAAGAAAATAAAAAAGGAAAAGAATTAAATT